TCTTACCTAGTAGAAACAAGTGGAGGGGAAGTGCTACGCCGCAATAGACAGGCAATCAAACCATCTCAGTTTGAGCACGTAGCAGAGCAAGACAGCCCTAAAACTGAAAGTGCAGTACCACAAACTTCCACGTTGTCAGCAAGCACAGACCTTGCAGCCAGCACAACTGCACCAGTAGCAAGAACAAGCTCCAGGACCATTAAGAAACCTGTACGGTTTCAGGATTACGTGTGCTAAAGACACTCTAAAGTTCGCAAACTAGTCTTACAAATGTGGACACTCGTTTCCAGGACTTTAGAGTTCGCATACTAGGCTCAGAACAGTGACTTTGATTTTTCTGATATATATATAATTTTTTACCGTTTTATATCGATTGCTATACCACAGTGGAAAATTAAGTTCTAATTAAGCTCGTTAAAAAAGGGGAGATGTTACAATATACGCTGCTTCTGATGGATTTGATTGACACTTAAATGATTGGGAGATACCGATATATCTAGGGTCTCGTGATTAGAGTAAAACGCATTTCAACCTACACTCAGAAGTGTGTGCGTCCCTCTCTTTACAAAAGGAAGACAGTGGTGCAACTAAAGCTATGTACAGTGACAAGCAGTACTACCCCTGTGTAATACTTAGTGAGAGTGGTAAGTTTTTTTTCATTTTGTGCCTAAAGTTTTGTCAATACAAGGAGAAACATATGTTGGGAAGTAATGGTCCACCTCAACATTAAGTAACTGTTTTGTGCAGTCTGTAGGAAAGTAAATTTTCAGACCTCACTGCTTTTGTTGTCATAATCAAGTTGTTCCAATGCTAACTATAGTTTGCATTTAAATGAGAAAAGCAGAGAGGTTTGTATCAAGGCAAGGTCACCTCCAACCTTGCTTGCATTCATAGGCCGGGAAACTGGGCACACAACTGTAAAATGGCCTATTCATCAAAATTAATCTGCAAATGTATGACAGCAAATAAAAAAAAACTCACAATAATGAACGATTAAAATGGTCTATTTACAGTAATGCCAAAATTTCAATTAGCAAACTTGATATAATGACTTGATTTAACCTGACTTGTATTTACCGGTAAGCATCTCTTTAAACACAAAATAATAATAATAATAATAATAATAATAATAATAATAATAATAATGACAATGATAACAATATTTATTACTTATATTGCACTTTTTCTATAAAAGTAATCAAAATGGAAAATTAATAGTGACCAATTATGTACTGAGCCTGTGGTCTCTTTCCTTTTTGGAATAGAAGAAAAAGAGCAGCTGATTAAAACCAAAAATGCAATGGATAGGAGTTCAAAAAAAAGGGGGGGGCATCATCAGTATCACTCCAAAAAGACAAGAGCAGTAAACAGACAGAGAAAAAGAAAGAAAAAACCCCTGACACCCAAAGGTAAAACCAAAGAACAAAAACAAGCAGACAATAGGGAAAGAGAGGAGAGAGAAAAAAAAAAGAAAAGCTGCAGAAGAAGAAAGCAGTTGATGGAAAGGGACTTCAATCTTCTGGGACAGTTATCACAACTGAACAAGTCAGTTGTCATACTTGATGAGCAAGGGAGAGAATTGGAGGAGAAAGAAAAGGAGCTGCAGAGGAAAAAGCTTGAACCAGAGAGAAGGGAGAAAGAAGTTCAGAACAGGGAAGAAGTGGCCAATAAGGAGAAGCAGCAAAACAAGAGAGTCAAAAGTAGAACAACTGATGATTTACTCTTTGACAAATTGAGAAGAATGGCAGCAGGAACCTCAAACAGGAGTGATGATGAAGATGGCGAGGACTATGCGGAGGAAGATTTTAGTAATAGTAAGTTAAGACTTTTCTGTATACTTTAGCAGAACTGGTGCAACAAAAAACAAAAATGTGTTTTCACATGTTGATAAAATTAGTTTTTGTGTTCCTTTTTCTCAGACCTTGATGATAGTGGTGTAGACTTGACAAGTGATATTGATGTCGAAGAAGCAGCCACCTATGTTAGACCAATGCCTCACATATTTGACAGACCAACTGTTGGGATGAAAAGGCCAAAGACAAAACCTCTGCATAGTTCAACATCGAACAAGTGCCCTAGATTACAGAGTGAGCCAGACTGTGCCAGATGCCACCATCTTCTGGCAGAGAAAAAAGAATTCAAACAATCTAATGCCTTACTCACAGAGCAACTCAATCTGTGCAGGTTGGAAGGAGCAAATGGAATTCAACAAGGTGAAGCTCCAAGGCCAGGAAAAGTTTCCAGGGCAATTGCTGAGAATCATCAGGTAAGAATAATTTTTTTAATATTGAGTAGTGTAATTTGTATTAAGTAGTGTAATTTTAAGAATGAGTCGGAGATACTAGCACTTTGTATGCTACTCAAAAATCTGAGTTTAAATGAAGATATGATTGATTTGATCGATTGATTGATTGATATTATGCTTACATGTGGTGTAGATGGTCTACTCAAAGAACTCCAGTCAAATCGTGCCATTCTTTTTTTGTGGCAGGAAATTTCTAGCTAATTGTTTATCACATTTTGAATAGAAGGTAATATGGTGATGGCTGAGTGGGTGAGAGAGTTTTTAATATTGCTGTCTTTCTAAAAATTACCAAACATTTCAATGTTTGCAGATGATAGAACTGTCCCCTGGAAAATGGGTCTACGTCTATGAGAGCCACATCACAAAGGCGTTTTCCAAAAAAACAGCCTGCTTTTTGCTCAGCTGTTTGTATCAGGATGGTGAACTTATTGGAAAAAGTCTAACTGGAAAGAATGGGAAAGGATGCATTGATGCAGACATCCTGGATAGTATTATGAGTAAGGGTTATTAAACACTTACATGTATATTCAACATAATCCATCAACTATTTTTGCACACACGCAATTGGTCTAAACGCATCATGTGACTGAATATTCCCCAGTTAAAACTGGAGAATATCCAAGTGTTATTCCCTAATTTTGAAAATGCATGTGTTCCGAAAAATTTTTGAAGGATAATACACACAACAGCCTCCGTTTGGTGTGAAAATATGCTCGGATATTGATTTGTCCTTGGACATTATCTGTTCCTCAAAGCTCACAGTTTTCCTCGAGCTACGCTCGGAAAACTGTTCACAGATAATGTCAGCGGACAAAAATCCGAGCATATTTCCACGCCATATGGAGGCTATTGTTTATTTATTACTCTGCAGGAACATATATATGTTACTGAACTAATATGAGGTCCATACTAAAGGAATATTGGTCCAGTTCTCTTTTTTTTTGCAGGTTTATGGACCTCGGCTGTGGCTGGGTTCATAGACGTGCAAAAAAAAGAACAAGACCAATATTCTCCAATACCGGTATATGGACGATGCAAACAAGCTAGTTCAATGAAGAATTTATTACAATGACTCTTTCAATCTCCTGCCAAATTAATACGTCTACGCCATCCATTTTTGGTAAATGTGCTTGTGAAGGGTAAGCTTATTTAGGTTTCTCATGCTGCTTTTGTGAACATTTAACCGAAATTGTCCTCCAAACATGAAGGTAAAAAGATTTGTACTTACCAAAAAACTGTTTATTTTGTGCAATGAACTGATAAAGCAATTTGCAGAAATTAATTCGTGAGCGGTCCATCTGCGGTTTGTTTTCTAAAATTCGCATCGCTAAGGGGACCAATCAGAATTATCCTTTTTATCACGGACCAGTTCAGCCATACAACAAGAACTTTTAACAGCGTCTAGTAGCTCAGTTGTTGTTAAGTCCCTCTACATGTTAATAATTAGTTACGTACTTTTTACAAAAAAAAGTCCCAGTTATATGCTCACCCACTTATAAGCCTACATGTATAGAGTTGGAAATGATTTCAAAAACTTAAACATGTCTCTTTGATTTCTAGGCTACACAAGGAAAAAATTTCCAGAGAGTTCTGACAGCATCATCAAGATCAGTTTAAGAAATAAAATTATGTGCCTGGAAGCCAAGTCCAAGAGAAAAACAGCTGTGTAGACAGCTTGTAACTTTTTTATATTTTAACTTCTTTGTTTACAAATTTTTGTAATTTTCTACATTTTATACACTTTACTTGGCATTCACCTAATAAATACAGATTTTTACTACTGTAGGCATCTGAGTAAGACTGTATTCATTCATATGCAAGAAGTATATTTAAAGTACACTTGAAGTTTACTTAATGTGAAGCATATTTGAAGTGTACTGCTTTTGAAGTATACTTCAAGTATACTTTTTATGTGACCAAAAGTACTGTACTTTAAGTATACTTCTGTAAGTATACTTAAAGTATACTTTAAGTACAAATGAAGTATACTTTTTTGTGTCTTTGACGGCCATTTGAAGTATGCTTCAAATATACTGAATTCCTGCAAGGGCTGTTACAGGACAACAACTTGATGATATGGCTCTGTACTGTAGGTCAGTGGAAGACGAGAACATTTTTCCGGAGTATTTTAATTATGTGTTGGAGAATGTGAATTTGCACCATCCAACACACTGGGGGGAAGCATTAGCACTGTTCCAACTTCTGATGCAAGTGGAACAATAGCTATAACAGTAATTCAGAAGAAATTTTGAAACAACTCAATATTACAATGGGAAAGTGACTGGGTGCAATTAATTTCTTTCATGGAATAAATGGAATGCAATCTTTAGTTTCTAAGTTGGAATGAGATTTGCCAGGGTTATCTAAAAAACTAAGGTCTAAGACCTAAGACCCCATACGAATCTAGAAAACTAAGACCTAAGACCTTAAATCTCAAAAAGCTCTTAGTTCTTGGGATTTGAAGGAGAGTCTTGGGTTTTAGATTTTGAGATTCAGAAGGGGTCTTCGGTCTCAGATTTTGAGACACGGTTTGCCAAATTGGTTCCAAACAAAAATTTAACATGTTCTCAATTTCAAATGATGGTTTATTTGTCTTTGCTAGCCATAAGTAAGTAACAGTAAGTTCTGCTTATCAACATGAAGAAATGAGAAACAATACACCAAAATCTATATTTCACTTGAACATGAACCTTACATGTAACTACATGTATCAGGACCTCAGTTTTCAAAAAAGAGGAGAAAATGGTTTCAAAACTACTATCACTACTACTATGACATCAGGAATAGTTTACTCGATTTTAAACCTCACATTGTAACTAAATACACATGAAGTCTTGGCAGCTACAGCTGCAAAAGAGACTAAGGAACTTGAGGCACTTCATACATATCCATAGCCCCTTGTGTTTAGAAATGCAAATGTCACATCTTTTTTGAACTCATCATATGGTTGATGGACCACTGGTAGCATCAACTCACATGCATATGCCATGACAAAAAAAAGAATATCACTAAAAGTTATTCCAACTGCCGTCTCTTCAACATCCTTGTAACATCCAGTGATTAATGCGAAGGGATCTTCTTTCCTCTTCTGCGCCTTCTGCGAGCCACTAGATCGAAAATGGGTAGACCTCTTGCAGCATAGCTTTTGAATCTCGAGCATTTTGTTGCGCCTTTATCCATTTCATTCCCACCAACAATGTCGTTTTCTACCTTCTGTCCACAAGCATGACAAAATTTAGAGCAGTCTTTTAAAACAGCTCCACAGTTAGCGCAAAACATTTCGCAAAAGCAAAAATGGTGACGAAAAATAGCGGGAGTTTGTAAGGCGCATAACGTATCAGCGGTTGAGTAAGAATGGGTTTATGTGTTGTATAGCAGCCCATCAATTCTCTCTCAATTTTGTGTTGCATTTCGATAATTTTGTGTTGTGTTTCGATAATTTTGTGTTGTTTTGATAATTTTTTGTTGTGTTTCACAAATATTGACTTGTGTTTCAGTAATTTTGTGTTGTGTTTCACAAATATTGACTTGTGTTTCAAAAATATTGTGTTGTGTTTCAAGAATTGTTTGTTGTGTTTGCAGATATGGGCCACCGT